GGAGGCCGAGACGGGTGGATCACGAGGTCAGGAGATCGAGACCATCCTGGTGAACACAGTGAAACCCCCGTCTCTACTAAAACTACAAAAAACTAGCCGGGCGAGGTGGCGGGCGCCTGTAGTCCCAGCTACTCCGGACGCTGAGGCAGGAGAATGGCGTGAACCCGGGAGGCGGAGCTTGCAGTGAGCTGAGATCCGGCCACTGCACTCCAGTCTGGGCGACAGAGCGAGACTCCGTCTCAAAAAATAAAAAAATAAAAAAAAATAAAAATATTAGCATCTGGTACAGATAGGAGTTCAAAATATAAATATATTAGCAAACAGAATCTTACAAAATATAAAAATGTTAATAAATCATAGTTCAGTTGTCGTTATTCCAGGAAGAATAATTTAACATCTGAAAATTACTCAGTATTATTTAGACTAAAGGAGAAAAGCTGTATGATGATCTCAATGGATCTAAAAAAGTATCTAACAAAATTCAACACCTATTCATGATTAAAAAGAAAAAAATGGCTGGGTGCGGTGCTTACACACTTTGGGAGGCTGAGGCAGGCAGATCACTTGAGGTCAGGAGTTTGAGACCAGCCTGACCAACATGTGAAACCCCATCTCTACTAAAAATACAAAAATTAGCTGGGCGTGGTGACATGCACCTGTAATCCCAGCTTCTCAGGAGGTTGAGGCAGAAGATCGCTTGAACCTGAGAGGTCGAGGTTGCAGTGAGCTCAGATCATGCCACTGCACTCCAGCCTGGGTAACAGAGTGAGACTCTGTCTCAAAGAAAAAAAAAAAATTCCTAGCAAACTAAGAATAAAATGCCTTAATCTAATCAAGTTTCCTACAGCAAACTTATACCTAATAGTGAAACGCTGAAAATGTTCCATTTCAGAATGGCAACAAGACAAGATGTCTACTCTCACTACTTGTATTGAACATGGTACTGGAGGACTTAACCCATTTACAGATGAGGAAACCGAGGCTTGGGCATGTTCTGTCACTTTCCCAAGGCCAGCCAGTTAGTAACTCCCAGGCTTTGGGCCCGAGCTGGGGCTCTCTCTGAATCCAGAGTCAGTGCCACACTGCCTGGAGACTCTAGACGCTCAGAATTGAGAAATTTTCATCTTGGGACCCCATTGGAGACCCTCTGACCCATCCCCTTTGTTTTACAAAAGAGGTTTTAGGGCCAGAGTCAGGAAGTGACTTGCACAGAGTCGTCTGCCTAACAGGTGCAAGGTGCGAGGGGAAATGCGAGGCATGGGTGGGAACCTCTCCCTGTTGACATTCTGATATCTAGGACTTTGGCACAATTTATTTTGAAGATAAAGAAGTACCTAAGGCAACCAAGGTACGTGCCAAGTTGAATGAGTCCCTTAATCTCTTGAGAAATTTCTCTAGGAGACAGGGGTATGGCTGAGATGACCTCGGGGAAACCTGAACCAGAGGCTCCAAAAGTTTGCATTCTCTTCCAGCGCCTGAGTGAGCAGGGGCTGGACAGAGTCACAGGATCAGTAGACATTCCAGGAAAGTGAAAGTTATCAGTCCGTGTCCACAGGCAGGGACTGACTGCTGATCCAGGCCTTGGAACGAATCTTAACCCTGGACCAAGAGTGAACCCTAACTGCAGCCACAGAGGGAGCCGGGAGAGCCTGGGCAAAGACCAAGAGAAAGACAATATATAGTATATTGGGGGAGTCTGAGTTGTTTAGGCCAGAGGGATCTCTAACTCTTGTTACCACATAAAAGCCACTCCAGGGCCGTGTGCGGTGGCTCAAGCCTGTAATCCCAGCACTTGGGGAGGCTGAGGCAGGTGGACCGCTTAAGTTCAGGAGTTCGAGACCAGCCTGGTCAACATGGTGAAACCTCATCTCTACTAAAAATACAAAATTAGCCCAGCATGGTGGCACATGCCTGTAATCCCAGCTACTTGGGAGGCTGAGGCAGGAGAATTGCTTGAACCCGGGAGGCTGAAGTTGCAGTGAGCCAAGATTGCACCACTGCACTTCAGCCTGGGCAACAAAAGCAAGACTCTGTCTCAAAAACAAAAAAAAAAAAAAAAAGGGGGGGGGTCCGGATGCGGTGGCTCACGCCTGTAATCCCAGCACTTTGGGATCAGCTCACTGCAACCTCCACCTCCCGGGTTCAAGGGATCCTTTGTCTCAGCCTCCCGAGTAACTGCGACTACAGGCATGCGCCACCACACTGGGCTACTTTTTGTGTATTTAGTAGAGACAGGGTTTCACCATGTTGGCCAGGGTGGTCTCGAACTCGTGGCTTCAAATGATCAGCCTGTCTTGGCCTCCCAAAATGCTGGGATTACAGGCGTGAACCGCTGTACCCGGCTGATGGTGTTATTATTTTTCTATTGCTGCCATTAACAAATTTCCACAAACTTAGTGGTGTAAATCAACACAAATTTATTCTCTTACAGTTCTGGAGGTCAGAAGTCTGAAACAAACCTTAACGGGCTAAAGTCAAGTGTCAGCAGGGCTGGATCCTTCTGGAGGTTTCAGTGGAGAATCTGTCGCTTGCTTCTCCCAGCCTCTGGAGGCTGCCTTCATGCCATGGCTTCTGGCTGCATCACTCCAGTCTCTGCTTCAGCGGTCACATCTTCTCTGGCTCTGAACTTTCTTTCTCTTTTTTTTTTTTTTGAGATGGAGTCTTGCTTTGTCACCCAGGCTGGAGTGCAATGGCACAATCTTGGCTCACTGCAGCCTCCACTTCCCAGGTTCAAGTGATCCTCGTGCCTCAGCCGTCCGAGTAGCTGGGTCTACAGGCACAAGCCACCACACCGGCTAATTTCTATATTTTTAGTAGAGACAGGCTGGTCTTAAACTCCTGACTTCAGGTGATCTACCCACCTGGGCCTCCCAAAGTGCTGGGATTACAGGTGTGAGCCACCGCGCCTGGACGTTTATCACTACGTCTAGTTAAATCAATGTTGAATGTTTGCATGATGACTCTGCAATAGATGAGTCCACAGTTAGGCCGTGTAGTAAACTATTCAGTGATGACATTTCCTTTCTCATACAGGCTTGTTTATCCTAAAGTCAATAACTGTCTCGTCTTTCATTTACTTACTCTTCCAATCACTTGTTAGTATTTTTTTTTTCACTTGTTAGTATTTTATCACTAGATTCTGACATAGCCATACAACTCTCACCATGATCCAACATGTCAGGGAATCAGCATCTTTTTTTTTTTTTTTTTGAGATGGAGTGTCACTCTGTCGCCCAGGCTGTGGTGCAGTGGCATGATCTTGGCTCACTGCAACCTCCACCTCCCAGGTTCAAGTTATTCCGCTGACTCAGCCTCCTGAGTAGCTGGGATTACAGGCACTAGTAGAGACAGGGTTTCGCCATGTTGGCCAGGTGAGGTCAAACTCCTGACCTCAAGTGATCCACCTGCCTTGGCCTCCCGAAGTGCTGGGATTACAGGTGTGAGCCACAGTGCTCTGCCAACATCTTGATACTCAAAAGAACCTCACAGGCCACCTTTGAAGGATGCTAAGGAACTAACTCATTGTGAAAACTAATAAGGAAAGGAAAGAATCAGGCATGTCTCTTGCTTTTTCTTTTCTTTCTTTTTTTTTTTTTTTTGGGACAGGGTCTCATTCTGTTCACTGAGGCTGGAGTGCAGTGGCGCAGTCATGGCTCACTGCAGCCTCAATCTCCCAGGCTCAAGCGATTCTCCTGCCTTAGCCTCTGTAGCAGCTGGGACTACAGGTGCCCACCATCATACCTGGCTAATTTTTAAAATTTTTTGTAGAGACAAAGTCTTGCCATGTTGGCCAGGCTGGTCTTGAACTCCTGGGCTCAAGCAATCGGCCCGCCTCAGCCTCCCAAAGTTCTGGGATTACAGGCATGAGCCACCACGCCCTGTTGTCTCTTGCCTTCTGTATAAAAACTGTACATTAGGACCCGATTTTTCCCAAGCCGAAGATCTCAGTACTTAAAGGTTTTTTTTTTTTTTTTTGGAGACGGAGTCTCGCTCTTTCTCCCAGGTTGGAGTGCAGTGGCATGATCTTGGCTCACTGCAAGCTCCGCCTCCCAGGTTCACGCCATTCTCCTGCCTCAGCCTCCTGAGTAGCTGGGACTAGAGATATCCGCCACCACGCCGAGCTAATTTTTTTTTTGTATTTTTAGTAGAGATGAGGTTTCACCGTGTTAGCCAGGATGGTCTCGATCTCCTGACCTCGTAATCCGCCCGCCCCGACCTCCCAAAGTGCTGGGATTACAGGCGTGAGCCACCGCGCCGGCCAGTGCTTAAAGATACTAACATAATTATGTATCTGCTTTTTCCTGTCTGTATCATCTATATCCATTTCTATATTCGTATCACATGTCTATACTATATTTATATCATCTATATTTGAATCATCTATATACCATTTATGTCTATATAATTTATCTTTTTATTTATATTATCTATCTAAATCAGCTTTTTTTTTGAGATGGAGTCTCGCTCTGTTGCCCAGGCTGGAGTGCAGTCGCCTGATCTCAGCTCACTGCAGCCTCCGCCTCCTGGGTTCAAGCGATTCTCCTGCCTCAGCCTCCTGAGTAGCTGGGACTACAGGCATGCACCACCACACCAGACTAATTTTTGTAATTTTTTTTTGACACGGACTCTCGCTCTGTTGCCCAGGCTGGAGTGCAGTGGCGCGATCTCTGCTCACTACAAGCTCCACTTCCCAGGTTAAAGCAATTCTCCTGCCTCAGCCTCCCGAGTAGCTGGGACTATAGGCACCCACCACCACGCCCAGCTATTTTTTTGTATTTTTAGTAGAGACGGGGTTTCACCGTGTTAACCAGGATGGTCTGGATCTCCTGACCTTGTGATCCGCCCACCTCGACCTCCCAAAGTGCTGGGATTACAGGCGTGAGCCCCCAGGCCTAGCCCTAAATCATCTTTTTATTGTATAAGCATACGTCATTTATCTGTACATATATGCTAATATATTCATATTCTATATTTATATCTAATATTTCAGAATAACTTACCCCTGTTATATTGCTGAGAGACTCATGCACAACCACTCCTTTCCATTCTCCAAAGACTTCAGGTTCCAGATTCCAGCCATCCCAGACTTTTAACTGCCTTTTACCTACAAACACACACAAAAGTACCCATGCAGATATAACTCGCACAGGGGAAACCCCCCCCCCCCCCCCCCCCGCCCACCAGGCTAAATGTGCCTCTGGTCTCCTCCAGTGATAACAGGTAACATCCCAGGACTCTCCAGCCCTCTCCAGCTCAGCACCCTGCACCTTACCCACTCTCCCATTCTTGTGCCCCCTCCGAGGGTCAGACCCTCCAGGCCTCCAGGTGGTGCTGTGAGCTGTAGCGGAGGTGGGAAGGTTTAGGAATGGCGGGGACAGGGAGACAGAAATGGCTTGAGTGGAAGAAGGAAGACATAGAGGGAGAGAGAATAGTAATGTGATCCCATTTAATTCTCAGAAATCCCGAGGGAAATGTACTTATGATTCCCACTTACAGATAAGGAAACTGAGGCTCAGGAAAATGACACAATTGCTTAAGTTCACACAGCTCGGAAGCAAATGAACTAGGACTGAACTTACATGTTGTGGCAACAAAGCCCTTTCTCTCTTTTTCTTGAGACGGAGTTTCGCTTTTGTTGCCCAGGTTGGAGTGCAATGGCCCTATCTCGGGTCACCGCAACCTCTGCCTCCGGGGCTCAAGGAGTCTCCTGCCTCAGCCTCCTGAGTAGCTGGGATTACAGGTGCCCGCCACCAGGCCCGGCTAATTTTTGTATTTTTAGTAGAGATGGGGTTTCTCCATGTTGGTCAGGCTGGTCTCGAACTCCCGACCTCAGATGATCTGCCCGCCTCGGCCTCCCAAAGTGCTGGGATTACAGGCTTGAGGCACCACACCCAGTCAGCCCTTTCTCTTAAGCACTGACAATACATTGCTCTGGGTTAATGTGTATGGAGGTGGGTGGTGCTTTCAGCTGATCAAAATTATCTGTGTGAAAATAATGATAATATAAATAACAACAATAGCTAATATTTATTAAGGGCGTTCTATGAGGACTTGTGTTCAGCCCTTTGCCTACACGTCTTGCTAAATCTTCACATACCACTGAGAGGCAGGTAACATTTTCTTTTTCTAAAATTTTAAAATTTTTTCCTTGTATCCACAAATTAGTTTCATTTCATTTAATTAATTTATTTCATTTCTTTTTTTGATACAGAGTCTGACTCTGTCACCCAGGTTGGTTTGCAGTGGCATGATCTCGGCTCACTGCAACCTCTGCCTCCTGGGTTCAAGTGATTCTCTTGCTTCGGCCTCCTGAGTAGCTGGGATTAGCACCACCACGCCTGCTAATTTTTGTATTTTTAGTAGAGACCGGGGTTTAGCCTTGTTGACAGGCTGGTCTTGAACTGGGGGACTCTTCCTTCCCCTCCCTCCCTCTCCCTCGTCCCTCCCTCCCTCCCTCTTCGCTTCCTTCCGTGGGCGACTCCGCGTCCCTTTGCTTTCTTTATCTGCTCTCTCTCCCCCTCACCTCGCTCCCTCCGGGCGGGCAGAGGTGGGGTGTGTGGTGGCCTCGTCCTTCTTCCTCTGTTTCTTTTTTGTGTCGTGTGCTGCGTCCCTCTCCTCCCTCCCTCCTGACCCTTTCCTTCCCCCTCACTCCCCTGCCCTCCCCCTTCCCTCCTCCCTCCCTTCTCCCCCGCCTTCCTACTTCTTTTCCTTCTTCCCTCCCTCGCCTCTTTCCTTCCTTCCTGCGCTTCGGGCTTCACTCTTCTCTCTCGTCTGCTCTTCCCAGCTCCGCCTTCCTTACGCTCTCTTTCTCTGTCTCTTTCTTTTTTCTTTCTTTCTTTCTTCTTTCTTTTCTTTCCCCTCCTTCCCTCCTCCCTCCTCCTTCCTTCTTCGTCCTTCCTTCTTTCCTTCTTTTCTTCTTTCTCCTCTCCCTCCTCTCCTCCTCCCTACGCCTCCCTCCCGACCGCATTCCATTCCCCCCTCCTGCCTCCCTCTCTTCTCTTCTTTCACAGCGGCGTCGTACCAGTCCAATCGCAATAGAATCGCGGAGGCTCACGTGGGACAGAGCGCGTGCTAACTCCTGACGGGGTTCAAGCAATCCTCCTGCCATTAGCCTTCCTGAGTAGCTGGAATTACAGGTGCACCACCACAACTGGCTTGTAATTAAAGACTGTATTTTATTTTTTTGGAGCTGGAGTTTGACGTGTGGTCCAGCCCGGGTGAGTGCGGGCCGGATCTCAGCTCACTGCAAGCTCCGCGCGGCTGCCTGGGCAGAGGAGTATTATTAACGGCCAGTGTACTGGTGCATCGAGAAACATAACAAGCCGAGTAGCTGAGGACTGAAGCGAGGCGCGGCGCACGGACACAGCCAGCACCGGAAGTCTAGCGCGCAGCTAGTTTTTTGTAATTTTAGTTAGAGACGGAGTGCGACAGTGTTAGCCAGGAGATGGAGAGCGCTCGATCTCCATAGAGACCTCGGTGAGTCCGCCCGTCTCGACGGCTCGCAAAGTGCTGCGATTTACAGGCTTGAGCACACGTGCGCCGGGCCTTTTGTTATTTTTTTTTAAAGAGAGGGCGAGCTCTCACTATGGTTGGCCCAGGGCTGGTCTTGAACTCCTGGCCTCAAGTGATCCTCTTGCTTTGGGCTGCGCGCAAAGTGATGTGATTACAGCACGGAGAGAGACACGGTGCAGCGAGCTGGGCAGTCTTTCCTTTGTTTTGAGTGAGATGGCCCCAGGGCTCTCGTGGTGGAATTGCAGCGTCCCTCATTGGAATGGTAGGTGACCAGTGCGGCGTTTGATTTAGGAAGGGAGCTCCAAGTGGGGAGTAGGTTCCTGGTCCGCGCGCTGTAGATT